CTCTGCTCGCTTCCCTTTCCTTTTATCTCTTGTAAGATAAACAGTGGTGCAGGCCACACCCCAGGGAAAATCTCTTTACATTGGATCAGGGATGTGACCTGGGCCAAGGTGTTACATCCCACCCTAACCCTCTTTAACCAAAGGCAGAGACTATGATTTATAACACATAGGAAAATCACAAAATGGAGGACAAGCACACAATACTGGGAATCATGGCCCAACCAAGTTGACACCTACTTTGGGGGAACACAATTCAATCCATGACAAGCACTGAAAAGAGAACAGACAATTCCACAATAATAGCAGGAGATTCAACACACCACTTTTGGTGAAGGACAGAGCATCTAGAAAGAAACTCAGTAAAGATACAGAAGATTTAAATGACACAATCAACCAACTCAGTCTCATACACATACACAGAACACTCCATCCAACAGCAGCAAAGTATGCATTCTTTTCCAATGCACATGGAACATTCTCCAGAATACACCACATTTTAGGCCGCAAAGCAAGTCTTAACAAAATCCAAAACACTGAAATAATACAAAACATCTTCTCTGATCACAATGCCATAAAAGTAGAAATCAATAACAGAAACAGCAAGGGGGAAAAAAATCAAATACATGGAATCTAAACACCTTGTTTACAAACTACTGGGTAATAGGAAAAATTAAGGATGGAAGAAAAAAACTTCATAGAAGCAAATGAGAATGAAAACATTTTTACCAGAACCTTTGGGTCACAGCAAAAGCAGCGCTTAGAGGTAAATTTATAGCAATAAACACACACATCAAAAAAGAAGGAGCAAATCAAAACATTAACCCTACAACTCAAAAAGACAGACAAAAAGAGAGCAGCAAAAGAAGCCCTCAGGCACCAGAAGAAAGGAAATAATAAAGAATAAAGCAGAAACAAATGAAACAGAGAAGAGAAAAACAATTAAAATAATCAACAAGACCAAAAGTTGGTTCTTTGAAAAGATCAACAAAACACTGGCCAAAGTGATAAAAGGAAAAACAGGAGAGGAAGCAAATAACCCAAATAAAAAATGAGACAGGTGATATCACAACAGACCCAACCAAAATAAAAAGGATAACAGAATACTACGAAAAACTGTAACCCCCAAAATTTGAAAACCTAGAAGAAATGAACAAATTTCTAGAAACATACTACCTACCTAAACTAACACAAACTGAGGTAGAACAACTAAACAGACCCATAACAAAAGAAGAGATTGAAGATGTAATTTAAAAAACTCCCAATAAACAAAAGCCTTGGCCCGGACGGCTTCACTGAAGACTTCTACTAAACTTTCAGAGAAGAGCTAACATCAATACTACTCAAGCTACTTCAGAGCATAGAAAAGAAAGGAATACTCCCGAACTCATTGTATGAAGTCAGCATAACCCTAATACCAAAGCCAAGTTAAGACACCAAAAAAAAAAAAAAGAAAACCACAAACCAATACCCCTCATGAACACAGATGCAAAAATTCTCAACAAAATTCTAGTCAATAGAATTCAACTCAAAATGGATCAAAGGCCTAAATACAAAATCTAAAATGATAAAGATCCTGGAAGAAAAAATGGGGACAACGCTAGGGGCCCTAATACACGGCATAAATAGTATACAAACCATAACTAACAATGCACAAACACCAGAAGAGAGACTAGCTAAATGGGAGCTCCTAAAAATCAAACACTTACACTCATCAAAAGACTTCACCAAAAAGAGTAAAAAAGACAACCTACAGACTGGGAAAAAGTTTTTGGCTACAACATATTTGACAAAGGTCTAACCTCTAAAACCTACAAAATACTTCAATACCTCGATAACAAAAAGACAAACAACTCAATCAAAAAATTTGCAAAAGATATAAACAGACACTTCACCAAAGAAGACATTCGGTGGCCAACAGACATACCAGGAAATGTTCGTAATCATCAGCCATTAGAAAAATGCAAATCAAAACTACAACGAGATACCACCTCATCCTGACAATACAAGCACTAATTCAAAAAACAGAAAATAACAAATGTTGGAAAGGTTGTGGGGAGACTGGAACTCTTATGCACTGCTAGTGGGAATGTAAAATGGTACAACCACTTTGGAAAATGATATGGTCCTTCCTTAAAAAGTTAGAAATAGAAATACCATAAAATCCAGCCATCCTACTCCTAGGAATATACCCTAGAGAAATAAGAGCCATCACACAAATAGACATATGCACACCCATGTTCACTGCAGCACTATTCACAATAGCAAAAAGATGGAAACAACCTACATGTGCTTCAACAAATAAATGGATAAACAAATTGTGGTACACGCACACGATGCAATACTGTGCAACGATAAAGAACAATGATGAATACACGAAACATCTCACAAAACAGATTAATCTGGAGGGCATTACGCTGAGTGAAATAAGTCAGTCACGAAAGGACAAATGTTGTATGAGACCACTATTACGAGAACTCAAGAAAAGGTTTACACACAGAAAAAAACACCGTTTGATGATTACAGGGGTGGCCAGGGAGGGGGAGGGGAAATCAATAACTAGATAGGTGAGAAGTGTCAGCTTTGGTGAAGGGAAAGAACAACTGGACCAAAGCAAAAGCTAAGAAGTTTCCAAGACACATCCAAAAACTCTGAGGTACCATGTAGCTGGGGTTGGGGGCTGGAGACCATAGTCTTGGGGGACATCTAGGTCAACTGGTATAACATAGTTCATAAAGAAAATGTTCTACATCCCACTTTGGTGAGTTGCATCTGGGGTCTTAAAAGCTTGCAAGTAGCCATCTAAGATACATCTATTGTTCCCATCCCGTCCAGAGCAAAGGAGAATGAAGAAAAACCAAAGATGGAAGGAAAATATTAGCCCAAAGACTAAAGGACCACATGAACCGAGAGACTCCACCAGCCTGAGACCAGAAAAACTAGATGGTGCCCGGCTACCATCACAGACCACTCTGACAGAGATCACAACAACAGAGAGTCCCAGACAGAATGGGAGAAAAATGTAGAACAGAATTCAAATTCATTAAAAAAACTAGACTTGCTGGTCTGACAGAGACTGAAGGAACCCTGAGATTACAGCTCCCAGACATTCTGCTAACTCAGAACTGAAACCATTCCTGAAGCCCACTCTTCAGACAAAGATTAGACAGACCTATAAAACAAAAAATAACACGCGTGAGGAATGACATCTTTCTTCCGAGGAGCGGCTGGTGGGTTTGAACAGCTGACTTTTCGGTTAGCGGCCAAGCGCTTTATCCATTGAGCCACGACTTCTAAAATATACTTTAAGTACCAAAATAAGCAAATCTGCCAGCATTTGAAACAAACAACAACAACAAAAAAAAAAAGGTATCTGCTGATCCAAGAGAATCATGCACAGGCTAATCTATACAACACAATATTTATAAGGCAAAGAAGGAAAAAACAAAGAAATAATAAAAGGCAGCTTTTTTTTTTTTTGCAATTAGAAACTGTTAAATAAATTACGAGAGATCTTGTTTTAGTGAAAAAGGAGGAATTACCTAAGCAAGAGTATACTGAATAAATACTTCAGAAGTAATGATAATAAAATTTAAATGATGAAGTTATCTATCAAGGTTTATCAAATATACCAAGGATGGGCAGAATCATCAAAAACTGAATCAGAACACACTAGGTGCCCTGGCACCTTGACCTTGTCCCCTTCTCCCAGCCAATGACAGACAGAAGGGTGGCTCCCAAGGGTGAACCCAACTTCCAGCAACACTCCCTGCCCCACCATCCAGTGGTCTTTTCCTCCCATCTCCACTCAAAGGTCACTTGCTCAGGAAAGCCTTGACAACCTGCTGGACAGGGCTCCCTAACTGCCCCTAGTCCCCACCCCCATTTCACCTTTCAGAACTTGCTGTGTGGCACTCAGCAAATTAGCATTCCAAACTCCCAGTGAGATGAATTTGTGGAAGTCTCCTTCACTCAGAGGGCAGGGCCTCAGGTCTTACCACTGTGTCTCAGGACCTTGCCTCTAATTCTATGTTTATGAGATGGAGACTCCTTTCCCTTAGCATACATAACCACCCCGAGTGACAAGTGATGCCTCATACCACACAAAAACGAAAAAACCCAAACAACACAGCAATACCTCCTCAGATCCTACATTATAAACACGGCTCTCTTCTCTTCAGCCAAACCCCTCAGAAGAGCAGTCTAACCTCAGGTCAACTTCCTCCCTCCTCTTTCCTTTTTAGCCATCTGCAATCTGGCCTTTGACTACGTTCAGTCTGCTCCTGCTGGTCACCCAGTCGAACTAACACTTTCCTCTTATTTACCGTCTCCTTCACATTTAACAAGGAGCCCTGGTTGCGCAGTGGTTGAAGCACTCGGCTGCTAAGCGAAAGGTTGGCAGTTCCAACCCACCAGCCTCTCCTCCTCAGGAGAAAGATATGGCAGTCCGCTTCCATAAAGATTACAGCCTTGGAAACCCTGTGGGGCAGTTCTACTCTCTGTCCTACAGGGTCGCTATGAGTAGGAATCGACTCCACAGCAATGGTGTCTTAGTCATCTAGTGCCACCGTAACAGAAATACCCCAAGTGGATGGTTTTCAGGAAGAGAAATTTATCTCCTCACGGTCAAAGTAGGCTAAAAGTCCAAATTCAGGGCATCAGCTCCAGGGGAAGCCTTTTTCTCTCTCTGTCGGCCTTCTCATCAATGTTCCCCCGGACTAGGAGCGTCTCTGCTCAGGGACCCCGGTCCAAAGGACGCGCTCTGCTCCCAGCACTGCTTTCTTGATGGTATGAGGTCCCCTGTCTCACTGCTCACTTCCTTCTTTTATATCTCAAGAGAATGCCTCAGGACACAATCCAGTCTTTTAGATCAGGTCCTGCCTTACTAACACAACTGCCACCCATCCTCCCTTATTAACATCATACAGTCAGGTTTACAACATACAGGAAAATCACACAGTACCAGGAATCATGGCCTAGCCAAATTGATACACACATTTTTTGGGGGGACATAATGCAAACCATGACAAATGGGTACTTTGGGGGTTCCATTTAACACCTCTTCCTCCTTTGGTTTCCCAGCACCGATTTTCCCCCTCTTCCTTGCTGTTCATTCTGTGTCCCCTTTGTTTTGCTGCGCGCGCTCTCTCTCAGCTTTTTAAGTATTGAGGCTTCCATTAGGTTCTTACCTTGGCCCCTAAAAATGCTTCACTCTCTCTGGGCAATTGTATCCACCTTCACAGTATGAACTACTGAGAATACTCAATCTGTATATCCATCCCAGGTCTCCCTCTGAAACAGCAAACGCCCATCTCCAACTACCTACACCTGGAGGTCCCATAAACTTCCCCAAGATAACAGAACCAAAAGTGGCAGAGCTGGGACTGGAAATCAGATTAGCGTCCTGCTAAACCCTTATCTGTTCCCAGATACAGCATTCCTTCTATTATAACTCTTACCACACAGCACTGTGACTGCTGATTTTCCATCTCTCCCAGCACAGTGTGCCTCATGGAAGATGGGAATTAAGTTTCATTCAACTCCAGCATGGTGCCTAGCACACAGGAGACATTCAATAAATTCTTGTGGGGGCTGAATAAAGATATGGAAAGGCTCCATGTTTCTCATTTCTATATCCCCAGCACACAGTAGGAGCTCAGTAAAAGTTTGGTGTAAAAAAGATTAAAAGGGAAGGCATGTTACAGGAAAAAGAAACAATGAAAGAATTACAGACCACACTTTACAGATTTAGAATTGACATATAATTTTCCTTTGGGGAGAAATTTCACGACTTGCCATAATATATCTTTTTGAGCAGTCAATATTTTCACAAAACAACGTATCTGCCCATCAGATGTTATAAATATGAAATATGTGCATGTATATCTACATACATATTGCATGGCTTTATTAATTAAAATTAATCATTTGAAGAAAACAAAAGACTAGATTTATCTGCTGGGATATGTGCTATGATATCAGGAAGTTAGTCAAACATCAAATGCTTGGCTGCCTCTATGTTTTTTTTAATTTTTATATTTTAAACTCCAATATATTAAGGCCTCATTCCTATTCAAAAAATTCCCTCCTTACTGATTTTCTTATGTCTGAGGTATAAGCGAAGATCTTTATACTATTTATATTTCAATTCCTATTTTCATAAAGATATTTAGCTTTAACCAGTGTAAAGAACTATGTTTTAGCTTGACAGCTGACTTGGGTTTAAAATATTGTTAATACTCGAACCTACTATGAATTTTGAAAAAAATAAACAAAACACGTTTGAACAACACTTTGATAAGCCATACGTGCTCTGCCAGCCCTTGGCTAGCTTACGCAATAAGCCCATGGCAAGCTTGAGGGTTTATCAAAAGCCAGGTAACCCGTATACTGCTGTTATTCTGTGCAGTATAAATTATTTATTTCCTACTACATAGACTTCAAACATTTCCCTCGATTCTGGCCTACCTTTCCAAACTGCCTGGTCAGTCCAAAATTGATCTCTCTTCATTCACAACTTCTCCACACCTTTGTCAACTCTCCTTCCAAAGCCACACACCATGACCCCCACGGTCCCCGTGTGCTTCTCACTCTAATGGAGGACAGCAGAGAATTACACACATTTTCAGAATTAGCTGTGTCACTGTTTCCCATTAGTATGGCTATGAATAGCTAACTATTAAAAAAAAAAAAAGAAAAAACCAAAACCCACAAATGCTTACACAAACATAAATCTTTTGTTGAAGTCTGAAGGACAAAGGTAAATAACTTCTCTCTGGTCAATTAATTTGCTCATATTTTAACCAGAATTTCCTAATCACAGTCATTTGATCAATGCAGCAGGAAAATCTCTACTTGGTTTCTTCTGTTTTCTGGTTTGCTTAGACAGTATACTGATTCCAGGCATGGGGACACCAATGGAGGGAATTGTTCTAGGGCTTTCTCCTCAATTCCTTGGCATCAGACTCCACTGGAAACACAATTAAGTTCTAACCCAATGGTCCACATTTCTGAACTATTACTTCTGAAACCAACAAGACTGCCATTATCGTATAGAAAAAGCAATCAAACATGCATGCTTTGGATTAGAAAGCTCACATGGATAAATGTAATTACAGTATTTATTTCTACAGCTATTAGATTTTAATTCTCCACAGAAGTCTGTATGCATGTCTTCAATAAAAAACAATATGAACACCACAGTCTTGGTCTGAATATTCTGGTTAAGTGAAAAACTTAACTTTCTATTCAAAAAGGTGTCTAAGCTTTGGATTTAGATTTGCAACTTATTTGTTACTAAAACCAAAAACCCACTGCCGCTGAGTCAATTCCAACTCACAGCGACCCTACAGGACGGAGGAGTGCTGCCCCATAGGGTTTCCAAGCAGCAGCTGGTGGATTTGAATTGCCGACCTTTGGGTTAGCAGCCAAGCTCTTAACCACTGTTCCTATAAATCCCCCCAAATTCTTTCTGGCTCAAGAGTATCAGGTGATACGTAGTTCTCTCTTAGATCAGTAAGGGTCACCATCTCCCACAAGATAACAAGATTTCCAATCCTTTTTAAGCTCAGCTGTTTCAGTCATGACAGGTTTGGAAGGGCTCACTTGCTTGGCTTTCTCCGAGCATAGGAGGGACTGCCAGAGTCATACTGATTTTTGCCCATGGAATCCGATGAGCGATGTTAAAACAAATAACAAACAAAAAACCAGTTGACATCAAGTTGACTCTGACTCACGGCGACCCCAAGTGTGTCAGAGTAGAACTGTGTTCCATACGGTTTTCAATGGCTGAATGTTTTGAATGTAGATCACCAGGCCTTTCTTCTGAGGCGCCTCTGGGTAGACTCAAACCTCCAACCTTTCAGTTAGCAGTCGAGCACGTTAACCTGTTTGCACTACCCACGGACTCCTGTTAAACAAAGGGTCTCCTACAGTCAGCAGCAGGTTTTGCTAATGACATTAAAAACAAAGGGGGTCTGTACGGGATCAAACGGCAACTCGAAAGATGGGATAGGAACCTCAGGGGCAGCGAGTTTACACTAAAGGGAGAGGAACTGAGAAGAGGAGGGTGAGAATGGCTGCACGACCTGAAGAAGGTGATCACGTCACTGACCTGTACACGTAGAAACTGTTGAAATGGTGTATGTTTGCTGTGTATACTTTCAACAACAACAAAATAAATAAAATTTAGAGAAAAAAAAAAGGCAGACAGGATAAGTTCTACTATTTCAGTTCTGACAGGGGCTAATAAAACCCTTTAGAAGAGTTGCTGAGATAGACAAAAGGCCTGAGAGATGTCATTTTCATTTCAGACTTCCATGCAATGGAGAAGATGCTATTGTTCCCACAGATTATATTCATCCTACCTGTGTGGTTTACCGACTGGTACCTGATTTTAAAACATTTATTACAGGATTGAGTCAAAGTAGATAAAACTTCATCGAAAAAACAAAACACTCACTCCGTCCCCCACCCAAATAAAAAACTTGATCAACTACTTAAGCAAAAGCCATAAAGTGAGCTGAGCTGATTGTCATTTTGACCTTGCTATGCTTTAATTCAGGAGTCTGTTTAAGAATATAGCAAGCAACCCCCTTCATTCGGCTCAGCTAGCAGAGCTAATAGGCTTCTAATTAATTTCCAGAAGATTGCTGTTATAACTAACAGGTTTCAAACATTTGGTTGATTGGGGAAAATGAATTGAATACAGTGTATTTGATTTGGAAAATTAGTTTTCATTCTGTGTGCTTGCCATCATAGTGTTTATTTTAAGTTTACATGATTCCATTAAGAGTCTCGGAACACCGCTGAGTTGTTTTAATCCTTACAGAGTCATATCCAACTTAAAAAAAAAAAAAATTAATTTACATATAGATTTTTGTTGGCCTTTATTTGAGGGCAGGTTAAATTCATTTTTGTGGATTTAATAAAAAATCTTTGCTTGCTAATATAGCAACAGACCAAAATACTTCAAAATGATCCCAGCGATACCTCCGTCAAAAGCCCACTCATCAAATGCAAATCCTCTTCAAGAAAAGCTTCTGCACACAAAGTCAGATGAGCCAGTTACTGCGTTGTTTATTAAGTTCCCTTGATTTCTCCTGACAACCATTTAAACAATGAATGTTGGGAACTGTCCCTCAAAGAATCAACAACAATGGCAGGGATCAAGGCTTTTATATTTAGCTAATACTATTTTTAAAAGGAGAAAATATTTCTTCCTGAAGGGATTATAGGAAGCCTTATTAAAGACACCTGCGAACAAAACAAGTGACAATAGATCTTTATCATAATTGATAACTGAGTTATCCTTTATATAAAGCTCCTTTCTTGATGACAATAACACCAAGATTTACCTTTGCAACTGAATTCAAGAAATCAGCTAATTGGGACTACTGGTATTCAACAATAAGTTTAACTAAGATTAAATGAGTGAATAATAAAAAAAAAAGACCCTGTCTCTGGTTAAACTGAAGTAGAGCAAGATGAGAATTTTCTCTCCTCATGCTAATGCTTTAAACTGAGATCAAGCAGCATCCATTCCTGTCCTCCACACATGATGGAAAAATACATGAGGGATTCTAATTATTATGCTCACTACGTGTAAAGCACACAGTGGGCCAGCCGGCTTTGGAAACTCAACCTCTAACCTGCAGTTGCAAAGTGACAGAATACATGGCACCATCTTCTCGAAGTAATTTACAATCACTGTCAAAACGTGTACCTAAAGTTATCTGCATTCTTTGAAAAAATGAAACCATTTTAGTGAAAGACTGCTTCTAGGGTATAAACTACATACATAGCTAAACCCAGCAGAACACATTTACAAAATAAGTTTGCAGAAGGGAAAAAACCAAAACAAACAAAAAACACCAGAGGGCCATGTTGGCAGTAAAAATACGCTGCTGTCTGTGAGTCTCGGCTTACTTCACACGTTGGTAAACAGCGGCGCCTTCACGCACGGGCTGCGCTGTTCGCAGTGTGAGATACTCATTGCTGTGTTCCTGTGTGACTAACAGGAATTCCTGTAATCATTTCAAGCCTATTACTGATTTTTCTGACATAGCTAATTTTCCCAATTAAGTAATTTAGCTCCTTTTTTTAACAGAGGCTCCAGAGGAGAACCTAAGCTTTGACCCCAAGAACATTTGAACCAGAGACACACAAAAAAGGAGCCATCCGGACACCAAGCCATAATTACAGACCCACTCTAGCATTTCAACTTCCGGCCTTCAAATCGGCTCACGACGAGACTCTTGTAAAACTGTCACTTAGGGAAAGTGAAAAAGGTTCAAACTCACAAAGCCTTAGCGACAGCAGCTGGGGCCTTAGAATATGTGAAACTCTGATGGATGCATTTTGTTTCCAAAATAAACACTTGGAAATGAAGAAGAAAGTTCCCCAGCCTGAATCCCCGGAAAGCAGACAGAATGAAACAACAGAAAAAAATACCACACAAGCAAGACCATGGAATGGTGGGATGAGAGATGACATGAACCAACATTATGCCTTAGAACCTCAAGTTCACAGACAAAACACGTGCTTTATAGAAGACAATTCCGTGGGATTGTTGGTTTTCTACTTCTTAAAAAGGAGACAGCTTAAGACTTAGCACAATCAGTGTGTGGAAAGAAAAACTGCCTAAAAAAACAAACAAGACATTTTCTGAGGTGACTTTGATCCTTTACTCAAATTATTGGCTTGAGCATACTTGCCTTTAAAGCCTTGTATTTCCAATAACTCCTCTCTATTGTCCTTGTTAACAAAGTATTATTTTCACCTTATTTTTAATAATCTTTTTTTTGTAAGTAACCACACCTGGCTTTACCCAGGAAAAAAAAAAAAGCGGTGCAGTAAATATTTATCCTTTGTGGTAATACAATGCATGATTTGGTTAATCTAGGCTATCTTTCCGTGAGAGACGATTGTTTCTATATTACGAAATGTGTTCACAGTAAGGCGAATCCACGCCAGATACCTGGGAGGCAGCCCGTGAGCCATGTGCCAAGCGTGTCGCTGCTGCATAGGAAAAAACGTTGATACCACCGTATAACCACTCCTACACTGTGGGTATTACTCACGAAACTTAGCTCCGAGTCGTAACCACACCTTTCTTTCACAAACACGGCCTTTCATTAAGGTAAAATCACGTGTTGGCGGGCAGAAAGCCTCACACCCCTCAAACTCTCCATGGAAAGACCTTGAAAAATCAGGAACTTCTATTTTCCATTTGAGAATTTGACATTCCTGTTACTTTACCTGGATGAAATCTAGAAATGTCAGAGGCAGCAAGTCATCCATATGTCCAATGTCTTTGGAGAAACGGTTTAAAATTCTTCCTGCAAGAACAGGATATGAGGAATTACTCATTTCCCCAGACAGACCCTTTAAGAGAAAACAACTCACAAACAAATCAAAACAATATTTTAAATGCATATGTGTTTAATATAGTATGCATTCATATGAAATAAGCCGATGCCATGGTAAAGAAAAAGAAAATAGGCTGGTACCTAAAAGACAAACAAAAATGGCACCAAATGGCAGTGGGCGGGGAGGTGACATTCGGCCTTGATTTTTAAAAGACTGGGGGGTCGGGGGAACAGTACTGTGACAGAGTGTCGGGAAAGGCTGGTGGATTTTAAAATGTTCCCTTTTCAGATCCTAGCTAGGGCTTCCATCGAAGTGCTAAATAGGTAGATGAACAATTGCAAAACACAAAAATTAATCCTAATTGCTGTAACAATTTTGCTTTAGTTAACAGGATCAATTTTGCTTCGTAGACTTTTAAGTAAATATAACTACAAGGTTTTTTGTTTTTGTTTTCCCTTCCGGTATGGGTTATGGGGAAACCCTGGTGGCGTAGTGGTTAAGAGCTATGGCTGCTAACCAAAAGGTCAGCAGTTTGAATCCACCAGGTGCTCCCTGGAAACTCAATGGGGCAGCTCTCCTCTGTCCTACAGGGTCGCTATCAGTTGGAATCAACTTGATGGCAATGGATTTGGTTTTTTGTTTTTGGATGGGTTTCGGAACCTCACATTTTGGAACACTTGAAATCCTGTCTTTTTCAAGTTGTAAGTTTACTGCTGGTGTAAGTCATTATCTTCAGAGTTGTTCAAGCTGTGACGTACACAGATTTATTCTTAAACATCCAAGGCAAGATGAATATAAGCAGAAAAAGAAATGCAGGTGCATAAATATATTCCCTAATGATTAAAGGGCACTTCTTATCATTGACTTTATCTCCTATCTCAAGTAGAATCCAAGACAATGGGAGAGCATAAATGCTTCAGAAATGGAAGACTAGAACTGGTTTCTATGAAATATCCCTTCTTTCAAATGATTTTTAAAAAACGAAGTTATATTTAAAAACAAACAAAAAAACAAAACTCAGCCTATTTTGATCGTGGCCATACCTGGGAAACATGTTTGTCTAGTCCTCTGGGCTTCTTTTCTAATTGATGCTGCAGGATGCCATATTGCAGATGAGATGGAGGGCCCCTGCTTGCTTTTTCCAAGGTCTGTTGGAAATGACTTCCTACTGCACCCCTTCATGCCAACCCACAACTGGACCGTGAATGGTCAGAAGCTGGGGCCTGAGTTTCCACAGCCAGAAAAGTGCTGTCTCTGCAATCCCGCCTCAAGGCGCCCGGACTCCACCGGGGAGCACAGGGTGTTCAGAGGAACATCGGAGGGGCGGGAGGCTTTAGCTCTTGGCCAGGCTACACCATCATGAGCTGGGCCTCAATTTTCCCGACTCAGGCTTAGGAAATACTGACTCCAGAAACCATCTTCTAGTGACACTTGTGGCATGCTGTGTGACAACTTTTCTGAGCCTCTAATAATACCTACTTTACAGGGCTATTCTGAGGATTAAATGAGCTCATGTACATTAAAGAACTCAGTCACAATGCCAGGCATGTAACAGGTGCTCAAAAAAAAAGAAAAAATGAGATTATTATTATTAACCACAGGTTCTGCATCACATCATCTGGGATATTCTACCACCCACTGTAGAAAGTCCATCTTGTTAAAATGCAGATTCTGTTTCTGTAGCTCTGGGGTGGAGCTTGAGATTCTGCATCTATAACAAGCTCCCAGATGACTCCATTTCTGCTGGTCCCCAAACCATACTTAGAAGGGCAAGCCGTTAATTTTTTAATCACTTGTGCTTTACCAAAAACCTCTTGCCGTAGAGTTGATTCCGACTCATAGCAACCCTACAGGACAAAGCAGAACTGCCCCATAGGGTTTCCAAGGCTGTAATCTTTACGGAAGCAGACTGCCACATCTTTCTCCCATGGAGTGGCTGGTGAGTTCCAACCACCGACCTTTTGGTTAACAGACAAGCGCTTTAACCACTGTGCAACCAGGGCTCCTGGTTGTGCTTTAGGACCATTAAAATCAGACGGGCAATTTTTTTACATATTCTTACATGTTTTGTGACCTATCAGATCTTATTTTTTTACCTTCTCAAAGTATCAATACCAAAATAACGAAAATACATATTAAAAAGTATTAAAGGCAAAAAAAAAAGTATTGAAGGCATAATTAAAACACATTTCTTCGATGAAAAGTAGGTACAACTTGCTAGCATAGACAGGATTCAGAAACATTCCAACTACAGTTCAGCTTTAAAAAATGTTGGGAAAAAAAAAGATGAAAAAGCTACACCAAGATAAATGGTATGTGAAAACCATCTCTTTACCATTTTCCAGACGCCAGTGGCTTATGGTCTAAGAGTCCTATGGTTGGCAAGCTGCATAAAATATAAAGAAAACACATACACACAGACACACACACACAAACTGGGAAAAACAACCTTCCCATACAATTACTACAATAACTGAACTACAAACATCCAAGATCGTCAAAAGTCTACACTCCTATTCACTAATGAGCTGAGTGTAGAAAATATGAGATTAGCATATAGTTACTTTCTTGTTTTAAGAAACACTTAAGAGAATGAACAGTGTTTGTGGAATATTTTCATCTGGCTTTGCGGTAGACTGTTAGATTTAGAGCTGTGATTTCAAGTTCGAGGCCTCATCGTCATCATTTTTCTCAAAGGTCTCCAAATAAAATCCTGATGATGAATCCTTCCATGCACACGCCATGTCCCTTCATCCAAGTGACACTTGGCTCTTGCCTGGCTATCTCCAGGGATGTGGCGGGAAGGTGGATTCACTTTTACCAGGGGAGACTCAATCCATTTTCAGGCTCTTCTGTTATAAAGAGCTTTCTTACATTAAACCGAATCCTGGAACATCCAATGCTTGCTGCTCATTGTGCCCTCAGAACCACACGGAGTCAATCTAATTTCTCTTGACATGACAGCCCTTCAAATATTTGAAGAGAGTTAATCATATCCTTTCAGACTTCTCACAAGTAACTATCCCTTCATGCCTCAATTACCCCTCATAAGACACGGTGTCACCTTGGCCACTGCCCTCTGCACATCTTCAGAAGTCAAAGTCTCAGTCAATGCCTAGTGCCCAAGACTAAAATCAACACCCCAGATGTGGTCTGACTACCTCAGGGTAAAGTGGTAATGGCACTTCTCCATTCTGCACGGCACGTATCCAATCACAAAGCCCACACTCACAATAACTTTTCCAGCAGCCAATCACATTCAATGAAAATCCACATCACTCTAATCCTGTATTATGCAGATAGATTATGGAGAGCAATTGGGTAATGCGTATAAACAATGCTAAGAGTACACTCCTTTTTGTCACTAAAAAAGGACCTTTTGGTAATTGCTATGGCATGTGTAATTTTGAAACAGCAACAACAACCAAAAAAATATATGTGTGGGTATATATGTATGTATGTAGACAAATGTGTATAGGTATGTATATGTGAGTATATACATGTGTATATATACCAAAAGCACCAAACCCCTTGTCATCAAGTTGATTCTGACTCATAGTGACTCTACAGGACAGAGTAGAACTGCCCCATAGGGTTTCCAACGACTCCTGGTAGATTCCAACTGCTGACCTCTTGGTTAGCAGCCAAGTTCTTAACCACTACGCGACCAGGGCTCTGTGTGTATACAGAGGTGTATATACATGTAAATCCGTGATTGTATGCACATATATTCATATGTACAATAAAACACATAGGGGATACAGTTATGAATACTTCTTAGACATAACCAAACATCTCACAGGATTGGTTTCCTGGGTTTGAAGGATTAGGACCATAGTCTCATGGGACATCTTGGTCATTTGGCATAATATAGTTCATAAAGTTATGCTCTACATCCTAGTTTGGTGAGTAGTGTCTGGGGACTTAAGAGCTTTCGAGCAGCCATCTGAGATACAACTATTGGTTTCTACTCATTTGGAGCAAAAGAGAAAGAAGGAAACCAAAAACTCAGAGAAGAAGTAGTCTACGGGACTAACAAGCTACACCAACCATGGGAACATCTACACTGAGACCAGAAGAACTAGATGGTGCCCAGCTACCATTAGAACCTATCATTCTGATCAGAGCCACAACAGACAGACCCCAACAGAATGGGAGAAAAATCTCAAATTCCTTAAAAACAAACAAACCAAAAAAAAAAAAAGACTTACTACACTGGTTGAGACTGGAGGACTCCCTGAGACTATTGTCCAGAGATACAGTAGTCCCTCCCTTTTTCCCAGGGGAATACGTTCCAAGACCCACAGGGGATGCCTGAAATTGCAGATAGTATCAAACCCTGTTTTTCAGGGGATCCCTTGCTGAAGTCTTCGTATAAGCTCAATGCTTTCTGGAACAACACGCTGCCGTCAATCAGAACACATTTTGTGTTTACGTCTTCCCCCCACAAATTCAATGCCTTTTCCATCTTAACTAAGCACTTATCGCGCACCGTGGCTGTAACTTCTGCTGTTTGATATACAGTAGCAAAACCAGCATGAATTTCTTCTTCCTTTTTCACAATTTCATGGATAGAAGATTCATTCTTACCATAGATCTTAGCAACCTCAGCATATGATTTTTTTTCTTATTAAGCTGAGAACTTTTACCTTTTCGCTTAAAGGGAACACTTTATGGCTCCTCTTCGGCATATCCAAACCGCCAGCATCACTACTCTTGCACTTCGGGGCCATTATTAAGTAAAATAAGGGTTATGTGAACACAAGCACCGTGATACTGAGGCAGTCGATCTGATGACCAAGACAGCTATTAAGTGACTAACGGGCAGGTAGCACACACAGCGTGGATACGCTGGACAAAGGGATGAGATTTCATCACACTACTCAGAACAGCGTGCAATTTAAAACTTACAAATTGTTTATTTCTGGAATTTTCCATTTAGTATATTTGGACCACAGCTGACCACGGG